GTTTGGATCTCACATGCCTTATCTGCATACATGCCAAGTGTGAAGCCGATGGCTCACCGTCCCTAGGAGGAGTTCGCGAAAGTTCGACGTCAACAAAATTGAAAAAGTGCCAAAAATCGGCCTTTGAGCCAAAATGGCTGACTTCCTGTAGGTTTTAGAGCATACCCATAATGTAACTTTTTTCATGATTTGGTGAGATCTATGCACCTGCCAAATCTCAAATCTCTGTGACTTACGGTTTTCCCCAACTCACGTTAGGCGGCGCTGTAGAGCCATTTGGCCACGCCCATTTTGGATTCCATTATCATACGTAAATTTCACTAGGGGGACAATTTACTGCCAAGTTTGGTGAGTTTTTGAACATGCTAAAGCCTCCAAAATGCTGTTTCTTTTACGCGGAGAAAAATAATAAATAATAATAATAATAACAAACGATACAGGAACAATAGGCTCTCGCAGCGGTGAGCTGCTCGGGCCTAATAACAAACGATACAGGAACAATAGGCTCTCGCAGCGGTGAGCTGCTCGGGCCTAATAAACGGTACAGGAACAATAGGCTCTCGCAGCGGTGAGCTGCTCGGGCCTAATAATAATAACAAACGGTACAGGAACAATAGGCTCTCGCAGCGGTGAGCTGCTCGGGCCTAATTATCAATTAAAAAGAACAGTGGGTCTTTGACTAAGAAAACTGAGTCAAAGGTCACTGAAAAAATTATGTTTATACTGTAATCTTGATTTACATTAATTTAAGGTTTCAGAATTTTAACAGTTTATTCAATTTATTTGGTTCTGGGTATGGCTGAGAGGTCTGGACAGTTGATACACTGACAATAAGTCTGTCATGTATTTTGTAGTTAAACCATTAAGCGATTTATATATTTAGAATATTTTTTTTAGTCTTGTATGTCTATTGTCTGAGAGACGAGGAGCCAGTGTATAGAATTTAAGAACTGGGCTTATGTGTTCCACTATTTAGTGAGGATGTAAGCAGCAGCATTCTTGCTCAACTGCAGCCGTCTGATCGAATTTTTAGGCAGACATAAATAGATTGCTGATACACGCCTACATTACATCCTGCTGAGACGCTAGTCCTTTAATCCTTGAGATGTTCGTTAGGTGATAAAACTCACTTATGTGCCTCTGAAGGTTCAGGACTGGGTCCATTACAATGTCCAGATTTTGGGCATGACTGGTCATTTTTGGCTTCACTTAATCTGTATGCACACTTTTAAAGACTCTTCCTTTGTGTTGGTAAGGATTCTCAGTCATCCAGGTCATGGTCAAACATAAAAAGTTCAGTTGAGACAAGTGGATGTGAAGTTTTCTAGAAGACGTTTCGGGTCTCATCCAAGAGGTTTCTTCAGTTATAACAATAACATCCGTATTCTAGCCAAAGAAGAAAGATTATTTGAGCGAGGGGTTAAGGAAGCCATCTTTGTTAACCTGAAAAACATCTCGCAACATAGGAGGTAGTCTTAGACATAACCTTTCACCCACTTACAGAGCACTTTTAGGGACAATACTCAGAAGATTCACCACTGATCCACCCTCACCTGACTCACACTTCAATAAGACATGTGCCCAAAATGACCCGTCAGAACCCTCTAACAACATCAACCCTCCATGTGACCTCCATGGCCAATCCAGTTGGAGGGATTAAAGCCACCTTTTTCCCCCCTAATTCTTTGTTACACCTACAATAATCTCAGGGCTATATGATCAGATGCAAAACATCTTCTAAAAAAGATGTCACGTTCAGTTGCCTAAACTGAATCTTTCAAGCTTGACTCTTCCTTTCTCTGAAAATTATTACTTATCAGTTTTGTTCAGATTAAAGCAAAGAAAATGTTAGCACATCCCTGCTTTGACTTCTTCTATTAATTTTTCCATCCCTGATATGGGTTCACACTCACCTGGTTATACCATATTATATAGCTGTGTGTTGTCTGCATAGTATTGAAAACCTATGTGCTTATTAAGGTCTGAGATAGGGGGAGGAATGCAGATATTGAATAGAAGGGGCCCTATGATGGACCCTTGGGGAACACCTGATTTTTGTGGTCTCTATCTATTTCTGTTCTTCAACCAGTCTTTTGCTATACCAGAAAGCCCTTATACAAATAGAGTCACATCAACTTTGTTGAACGCTAGCAAATTAGTCAGAGAAAGATTAGAATTAAAGCTATATCAACCTTTTGTTTGACGATCCCCAAAATACGATCAGCTTGTTCTATCAGCATATTTCTATATATTTGTATATGATTAATCATCTATACTTTTTTTTTTATTACCAATACCTTGCTGCTAATTACGCATGCAGGTTTTCTTGATACCATAAGCAACATGTTGATAAATAAATCTACTGCTGGATTATGTTGTAGTTACTCCGCAACACAAGGTGGCAGCAAACTGATCAGTGAGCTCTAAGGCAACGAGCAACCGTCTCCTTTAAGATGAATACTTTGCAGGTTTTTAGACACACCCACTCAGCAGACACGCAACTCTGTGGTGCTTCTGCAGCTTAATAACAATGCAGAAAACAAGTGAGCTAAAAATGCATTTAGAGTCTTCGCTGAACAGGATATTTCAGGCCACCGTGGATGACATCCTGGACTCGGTGGAGCGGACCCTCTCTGAGTACCAGGGGGCGATCCAGACGATCCAGACGGAGAATGAAGGTCTGAGGCTGCTGCTGCTGCAGAGGAGCCCAGAGTCCGACCACAGAGGTCTGCGGTCTCCAGGTTGGGACAGTTTGTTTAATACCTGTGTAATAGCTGGTGCCCTGTTCTCTGTTCATTCTGCACACCATCTAATGAGCCCCTGCAGGCTGGCCAACAGGAGGAGGGTATGTCGGTATCATGCCCAGGTGGTTTTCCCTAACAGACCCCGGCGAAGCTCTTCTTCGCTCCGGAAACTTCTTCTTTGCTCCGGGCACACTGCGGTCGGAGAAAGCCTCTCCAACATTTCAACTGCACTCGTACTATAGAACACGGAGAGAGAAAACGGCCACAGTTTACGATTTCCTGTTTCCAAAATAAAAGTATTGGATTTTGAAGCCGATGAGCTATAAAGCTAGAATATTGATATTTATCCTATATACAAAATGATAAATATTGAGAGATTTCATGTGCAACACTAAAAGGCATATCTGATTAAACCAGTGCAATACCATCATCCCTTATAGATAAATAAAGAAGTCTTTTATGTTAATCAATTACAAAACCTGGAACTATTAAGCAAAACTGCTAATATTTACGCATAAATATTATTTAAAAACTATTAAGAGACTTAAAATGCAGAAATAAAAAAGGCTTTAAGAGTTACGACTTTTATTTTCATATCTTTAATATCTGTTTTTATAATTATTTATATGAAAATCTTAACAATTTTGTTCAGTAATTACCAGGTCATGCGATGAATTTACTTAAAACGAGTGTTGAATATTAGTTTTCCATTGGCTTCAAGAGTAAGGCCTTTTTTATTTTTGCATTTCAAGTCCCTTTATATGTAAATTTTTGCAAGTTTGCTTAATATTTCCCAGGTTTTATATATATATATATATATATATATATATATATATATATATATATATATATATATATATATATATATATATACACACATAATTGACACAAATAATATTTCATGAGATATACCTTTTACTTTTGCATATTACATCTCTACATGTTTATTTATTTTATTTATTTATTTTTTCTTGTATATAGCAGGGCTCCATGTTAACCATTGCCCGATCGCCCGGGGCAAGTAGTTTTTATTATCAGGAGAGTACAAATTTCATTGCATTTGCCCACCGGGCTAAAAAACAAGAAAGCAAAAAAATGTAAGTACAGTAACACAACCACCACCTATTTTACCCTCCACCCATTTCACCCACCACCCACCTAGCATCCATTTCACCTTCTACTACTACCTTCATCCATTTCTCTCATCACCTACCACCCATCCTCCACCTAAAATCCATTTCACCCACCCTCCAGCAGTAACCCACATTTCTGATATTATATAACATAATTTTAACAAATTTTATTCACAAAAAAATGTATCCCTTACTAAGGCATCATTGCATTGAAATGAATAAATTTAATTGAACATTATTATTTTAATCTGGTCATATTAATTCATTTCTATTTAGCCATTGGGGAGAGAATTCTGCAGAGCAGCAGCTGGATGATGAATTTAATCTATACTATAATACAAGCTAGATTAAAAATGATCTGTCAGGGATTAGGAAAAATAATAATAATAATTGTATGCGCACAGTGTGAATATTTCTATCATATGGCAGTCTTCTATACAGTGGTCATACATTAAAAAATGTTCATTACATTTCTTTTCTCTTAGACATTGGAGTGGTGCATTTAAAGGTCATAGAGCTAAACATGTTAAATTGGTGAGTAGTAGTAGTGTAAGTTTTTAACCTGTCAAGTTTTTTTTAGGTTTTTAACATTACAATTTATATTTTTCCAAGCACACAACAGTTTAAAGCAAAGTTTAGTTTGAAAAAAATGTGAAGGAAGGATTGAAAAGCATGTTAACACGGTAATGTAGGCTTGAGTTCATTATCTGACGCATGCATATACACACCAGGAACCTGTAAACTTACTGAATTACAAAAAAACATTTAAAAAACATGTTTCATTGATATATATACAAAAATGAATATTAGCAACTATATTTATCAAACATTATACTGGGCAAGTAAAAAATTTTTCTGTGCAAATGAAATGTGAAAGCCACTTGACCGAAGGGCAAGTGGTAAAAATCCTTAAGGTCCACCCCTGTATAGGGATAAATACGGTATCAATATTCAAGCTTGATCGCTTCTCAACTTCAAAAGCTAGGCTTACACTTTTATTTTGAAAACAGGAAGTGGGTATACACTGTAGCTGTTTTCTCTCGCCGTCTTTCTACTGTAAGGTCTCTAATACGGGTGCACATTAAATGGCTTTCTGTGATTGCAGTGTACCCGGACAGAAGACAGTTTTAACATGAGCAAATGTCGATAGCAATCAGAGGCTACTCCCTCCGCCATTAAATACTCACTATGCTGAACTAAGGCCCCCTTTAAAGAATGTCGACAAAGCAGACCTTCAAAAATCTTAACCGTTTTTTTGGGCAAGTGACCACTTTGATCACTTGCCTCACAAATGGAGCCCCCCCCCGTCCCTCAGTGAGGTCTAGAAGCACAAGATCTATATCCAGCCATTCAGCATAGATCCTGCTACATGGCTGTACATCTTATTTTGGTATTTGACCAATTAGATGAGCCCTTGAATGATATATTACCTACTGCTAATAAAGTTGGAGAAAGAATGAAACAAGTCAAGAAAAAAGTTAATTGAAGAGTTAATAAGCCTAGTTAACAATTATAATTAGGTTTATAAACTAAAAGATATAAGTGCCAGTACCTGCGTTAATGCCTCTAAAGTTATGTTGTACCAAAAAAAATAAAAAAATTGTTAATTTCTCTCTCAGAGTGTTTTTCATGAATTTCTTATAGAAGCACTATTGTTTTTTTTTTTTTTCTTAATATATTCGGGCAAGTTGGCGTTTCATTTTTGCCATCAAAATATTCGTATTCTTTTATGTTACATAGGTAATAAGGTCTTGTTCTGGATTCCAATAACACTATTAGCTTGAAATTTGGATTTGGGTTAAATCTTTCATGAATTGCTTCAATTTTCAGTTTTTTCCAACAGTTGTTAGGTTTTTTTTATACGATTGAACCCTGATGATGTTGGGCATAATTATCAGACATTGGATCCTGTTCAATTAGACCAAATATACAAAACAAAGATGCTTTGTTTAGAAAAATACAATAACTCCATAATAATGTGGGTTTTTACAATAGAGTTAAACTGATCTTTTGCTCCTTAAGTAGCTGACTTGTGCTTTCCCCACCAACAGCAGGTATTGTTCTGAACACATTACATCCTTTTGCTCTACATCTTATGGGGCATAAAAATCTAATAATTTACCTACATTAGCATATTTTCTGATTTAATAAATTGGATCTATTACCTTGAATCATTCAATATGCCTAGGTAACTGAAAAAAGAAAAGGTCTTTACAATTGTATCTAAAATCAATTATATATATTATATCATTCAGAACATGTCGTGTTGCTGGTTTTGTTTGTCTTCATTGCAACAATTGACTGCCTTAATTGTATTTTTTTTTAGGGAGTGTAAGCAGGTTTTTTGCTGTTGATCACGTTAATGCACGTCTCCTATGTGGAATAAGATTTTTTTTCTTTCACATTCTACATAGTGCTGATTTCCAGATATGAAACAGATTAATAATCTGGAATATATCAAACCTTTAGCTCAGGAATTCCATTTAAGAGCTTTGACAGTTCAGTGTTTTGGTTACAGCTGCCCCCTAATGGAGAAAATTACAAAAAATACACTTACAACTCTTCAATTGAATTAAAACAAAATGAGATTTTTACTCATTTCATGTGAAATGTGAAAATAATTATTTGTCTACATCAATCTGCTTCTTGTTTCCTTTTATCTTTCAGAAGGATGTGAGGAGGAGGATGCTGAACACTTGTCTGCCTTTAACTGGAAGAGTAATTTGTTCGGCTCCACGTCGAACATGTTAAAGGTGTCAATATGCAGCAGTGACAACAAATGTTTGAGGCAGAGGAATGAGGGAGAGCTGATGGAGAGCGCATCCTCCACTTCATTTTTTTTGCAGACAGAAGAAAGAGAAGAACAGCCATGTGTGAACGACTGCAGTGGAATCTCAGTTCCTAGGAAAACAGAGCCTGACCCGGAGGAAAGTTGCGCCCTCACTCAGTCACCTCTGAATCAGATGGAGGAGCTAGTTAAGAATGAGAGCTCGGAGATTACTGGTGATGCATTCACAGTTGAGCATGAGCTGCATCCTCCAAGCCCTGAACATGAATGCAGCGAGAGTGAGAGCTACAAAAAGGAGGGACATCTCTTCCAAATCAAGGGAGAGGTCGAAAAGCTGCCAGAGGGAGAAGGTTTTAGTTTCACTCAGCCAGTGTTAAAATGTGATCCTAAATATCAGGGTGCTGAGCAGGATCAAAGACGGATGGTAGGAGCAAGCACAACAGAAAAGGAGCAGGAACAAGTAATGCTGGAGCAAAATGATTCACTCGCTGTTGCTGAAGGGGCCCAGGTAACGAGCACCAACATTTTGGACTTAAACGGAGCAGATCTAAGTATTCTCAACCAAACTCACAGCAAAGACAAAGATCACAGCTGCAGCATTTATGGAAAACTTTTCCGGCCGGTCAGCAACACGAGTTTACGTAAGCGTAAGCACAAGGGAGAAAGACAGCACTGCTGCAACATCTGTAGCAAAGCTTTCAGCACTTCATACAGACTCAAGGTGCACATGCGCAGCCACACTGGAGAAAAGCCTTATGCCTGCCCTTTCTGCGAGAAGTGTTTCGGGTACAGGCCTGGGTTTAGGCAACACCTGCAGGTGCACACCGGGGAGAAGTCATACAGTTGCCAACTGTGCGGAAGAACATTTGGAACCATACAAAACCTGCGGCAGCATGACAGGCTCCATACGGACAAGCGGCCCTTTTGCTGCGCTCAGTGCGGCAAGACGTTTCACTACCGGAACGACCTCAAAAAACATAACCGGATCCACACGGGCGAGAAGCCGTATGTCTGCGACGTGTGCAAGAAGTCTTTTACCCAGATAGGGGGCCTCAAAATCCACATGCGGACGCACACCGGAGAACGGCCGTACAGCTGCGACGAGTGCGGCAAGAGATTCACGGTGGGCAGCAGTCTTAGGCTGCACCTCACCACTCACTCGGAGGAGAAGGCGTACGGCTGCACTCACTGCGGAAAAAGATTCAAGAGGTTTAGTCACCTGCAGAGACATGAGATGTTGCACACCGGGGTAAAGAACTTTTCCTGCAGTCAGTGTGGGAAGCATTTCGCTGATGATCAGTATTTGAAAAGACATCTCAAGATCCATGAGTCACGGGAGCAAAAGCTGAAGACCAAAGCTTCAAGAAAACCGACTGGAGTTTGAAATGTGGCAGCGATAGGGATTAACGCTATTGATACAGAATAGAATTGATTTATTTGTTGAATTGATTGATTAATTGACTTTATTGATCTCACGTTGCAGAAATTTAATCGTTTCATCAACTCAGATAGTCAAAAGAGAAGAAGAAGGTGCCAAAGGAAGGAAAAGGTGCATGGGATATATACAGTACGTATATATGGTGCGTCCACATATGCCATTTTTTATTTTTTTTTTGGTTTGTTTTTAGAATAGAACTTTCTTGATTCCACAATGGAGAAATACGCTACCTTATTTAATTGTCTTATGTTCATTAATCTGTTTGAGAAAAGACATCTTGTTTTGTTTTTTTTACTTCATTTTCTGTTGTATCAAAATGATCTTTCAGTAGCTTAAGGCTCCGTGCTGGAAGAGGCTTTGTTCTGCTAGCATCACCTTTAAAAAGGTGATTAAATGGGCCCTATTTAGGTGGTAACTTAAGGAGTTGATGGGGTGTTTATATTTACTAACAGAACCACGTAAATAACATTTTGCATCCTTGCCACCGTGAAGCATAACACTGGACCAAACTCTGAATCGATTCATGTTTCTACTCTGTCCAGAGACTATGCATACGTAGATCCCTCAGGGACTGAAGCAGCTAACTAGAGCCGCCATCTTGGGTGGGGCTTTCACTCCCCCCCATCCCAGTACATTCATTTATACTAAGGAAGCTGTTTGCTCAAATAAAATCACAACTTTTTTACCAATTTTTTTGTGATTTGTTTTGCTATAAAGTGGTGTGGTTATGATGCAGGGCACTGTAAACCTTAGAATTACATGTGTGAGTTAATGTGTGCTGGAGAACTTTTTTTGTCTTCTTTAGCATAGACAAAAGTTATGCTGTGGCAGTGTATATAATATTGATTTAATAAATTTTATAGAATACAAATTTTATCTGAAAAGAGTGACAGAAAATGGTCTTTAACACGAGTCTACCTCAGCCTCAATGCGTTTAGAAAACATTAAAAAGCAATGTAGAAATACACCAAAAATGCATTTAAAAAAACACATATTGATAAAAAAACAAAAATCAATTGCTTCTTATGTTTTTCTAATAATTTTGCCAGCCTGATTCGTTATACGTGAATTTTATTTTGTTTACTGCTGATGAAGTTTTACCAGGATGTTTTACCTAATGGACATTAGTACCCGGGTCCTCACCTAAACAACTAACTGTACTGGACTCACAACAATGAGGCTTTCTACAAGAAGGGTCAGAGCAGACTCTTCCTGCTGAGGAGACTGAGGGCTTTTGAAGTGCAGGAGGTGCTCCTAAAGACCTTCTTTGACTTTGTTGTGGCATCAGCCATCTTCTATGAGAGACAGCGGCTTAATAAGTTGCTCAGGAAAGGCAGCTCTGTGATTGGATGCCCTCCAGTGTCATTGTATAAGGTGGGAAACAAATGGACTAACTAAATAAACATCTCTGTTGGATAATGTCTCCCACCCCATCCATGAAGCTGTTGCAGAACTGGAGAGCTCCATCGGTGACTGATGCTGCATCCTAAATGCACCAGGGAGCGTTATCACAGATCCTTTCTCACAGGAGCTGTAAGATTCGTTAACCATCACTGTTCCCAACAACCTCAATAAGTTGTTGCAAACATGCTGGTTTTTGCACAGTTTATGTTCAAAAACTTAGGTCAATGTAAATTCATAATTCAGGAATATTACATTGTCATACAGAATAACAATAACCAGTTTTGATCAAATCAGAATTCGAACTTCAGTCAAAATGATCAATCAGCCAGCGACAGACTGGCAACCTGTTCATGGTGTACCCTGCCTTTCAATCATGAAGGCACACACCGGCTCCAACGCCACCCTGATGGAATAAGCAGGAGAAAATGGATGATAACACAGCTGTAACAAATTCAAATTTTTTTCAATATAAAATGAAGCAAATGAAAACTCTGATTGTATATTAGTGCGTCTGAAGCCACCACCTTAATTTCAAAATCATAATTAAAATAGAATAAAAATAAGTAGTTGAAACTATCTATTTTCATTCTATTTTAATTCTCTTCAAGGAAATATTATCATTAGTATCTTATTTTAATTTATTTTAGCATTGTGTGTTCAATACAGGTGTTAGGACCAGTTCTACAGGGGAACTGCTTATATCTCCAGTGGCAAATTCCCACAACCGGGATAGAGGAACAAACAGGAAACCTTTAAGGTTATAGTATAATACTGTATCAATATTAAAACATCAATTTGTTTCAAGTTTCTATTTTTTAATAAATGCTTCTCTTCAGTGCTAACTTTTGGCTGCAGACATAAAGAGATTCTAACAATATTTGTAAAAATGTGAATGTCATGGTCTTGGTTCTGCTGTTCTTTACTTTGCACCTTGTTTTCTAGATTTATTGGCCTAATTCCAGTTTTGTTGTATTTCTAGATTTATATTAGTTCTCATGTTTTTCTGTTGTCCTCTTTTGCCCTCTTGTGTGTGTATGTTCCTTTCCCCTTGGCTCCCTCGTTGTCTCCTCTCACACCTGTTCCTTGTCTGCTCGTTAGCCCTCCCTCTGTCTCTCTCTGCTATATATGCTCTCCCTCTGCTCTCACTCTTTGTTGGTTCCCTGTCTTTGCTGTCTTCCCATGCTGTTGCCTATGTTCCTCGTCTCTTCCTGGCTCCTCGTGTTTGGTTTTCCCCAGATGTCTCCTCTGTTCTGGTTTGCCTTTTTATTATTAGTTGCATTTTTGGATCTCTGCCTTTGTTTACTGTTTTGCCCCATTAAAACTCCCAAGAAATCTCCTCAGCCTCTCTGCCTCTGCATTTGGGTCCTCAAAACCACAACCAAACCCTGACAGTGAACAGTATGTTATCTGTTACCATTGTGAAGAGTAGTTATCAGGGTTCAATCCAGTCTTAAAAACCATAAACTTTGCTCTGATTATTTTTAAGGTTTAATGAGAAAATTGTTTGATTATCTCAGCCTAGTATCTACTTTTATATTCTGCAAGAAAAACAATCAAACTTAAAAATGTTCCTTATAGTTATATTGACTCAATGTTGAGTTCTTAATGCTGACCCAGAACTGGTCCATGTTAGACCATTTATTAAACTAGTGACTATTTAAGCTGCTCCCAGGTAGAACAATTGTAAAGCAGTTTAAGAAAGCCATAAATAAAAAAATATAAACTTATTTATTAACTTATTTATTATTTTTATTTTCAAGAAAGACAGCTTTTTATTTTGGCAAACCGTCCGGCGTTTCCATTCCAGACAGGAAAGCAGGGATTTGTTATCACTGTTTTCAGTGGGAGTGAGGAACTGGTGAGGCTGAAAGAGGACGTATTTGGATGGTTGAATGAATACTCTGCAGATCTCCCTTGATCCAGCTGACATGCCCTCTGCGGTGGAAAGTCTGAATAGAGCAAGAGATGGGTTGCTCGGGGCTCTTTTCGTTCATCACTCGGGCTGAATTTACAGAGTTGGTTAAAAAGCCTTCGGGGCATCGTTGGTGGATGAGATGTTGGACGAGCTGTCCGGTTGTTAGAATTAATTATACTGATGACTGTTAACCCTGATTTTACCTGCCTGTTATGTGTCTAAACTTATGTCTTGAGCAGTTATTCTAATTAGGACTGTTATTCTGTCATGATATACAATTATCATGCTCATTATGTAGATAACAGAGATTTGAAAATGAACTGAGAGCATACAGAGAGAGTGGATGACTCTTAAAGGTGAGTTACTATCTCTCACAGGGCATTCGGAATGGCCTTGATCTAACAACATGGTATTATATTGATATGGCTGGAGTGAGGGATGTCTCCACATTTGCAAAGTTGCATAATCTCTGCTTTTTACGTATGACGTGGTTCTGCTGGGTCCTCCCTGCCAAGACCTATAGCATGCACTGTGGAGGTCCACAGCCGAGTGGGTAGCAGCGGGGGGAGAATAAGCTCCTCCAAGTCTGAGGCCATGGTTCTTTAGGGGAAAAATGTCCCCTTCAGGTCGGAGGAGAATTCCTCCAAGTTTAAATGGAGCAGGAGAGTGATAGACGGATCGGTTTGCTGCTGCTATAATGCAGACGCTGCATTAGTCTGTCGTGGTGAAGATAGAGCTGGGAAAAAACGCAAAGCTCTCCATTTATCGGTCAGTCTACGTTCCTACGCTCACCTTTGGTCAGGAAATCTGGATCACGACAGAAAGGGTGAGATTCTGGATACAAGTGGCTGAAATTAACTTTCTCTGCAGGGTGGCTTAGTGAGGAGCTTGGTCATTTGGGAGAGGATCGGAGAAGAGCCGCATCCCCTCTGCATCCAAAGGAGTCAGCTGAGGTGGCTCAGACATCTTTATCTGTTGCCCCCTGGATGCCTCCCTCGGTAGGTGTTCCAGGAATGTCCCATCGGGAGGAGGCCCAGGGGACAACCCAGGAAATGTTGGAGGGATTATGAATCTCGGCTGGCCCTGCAGTGCCCCTGGCTTCCCCCAGCAGAGTTGGAGGAGGTCTGGGAGTCTACTGAGACTGCTGCTCCCAGGACCAACTTCCAGATGAAGTGGGAGAACGACGAGTACTTGTGCTAATTTTTATTTCTAATGGTTTTTAATCTCTCTGCACATGCAGTACTGCACAACATCTCTGTGCTTTTTCCTTTGTGTTTAACTAAATATTTAAAAATACATTACTCTAAGATTTTTTGTTGGCATTATAAGTTAGCATTCTGTTATCGCACATTTAGCAAATGGAGCTTGTTTTAGATTTGCACAAAGAATATATGCAAGATTTTAGCTGGTTATCATTGGCAGTTATACATTCTGATTTTCAAGGTAAATTGACTCTTAAAATATTTTAAAAAGAACTAAAGTGAATTTAAACATAAAATCACTAATTACTTGACCTCACAAAGCATCGGTTGCTTTCATTTATCCAAGTAAAGGGAGCTGAATAAAAAAAATATCTAACGATCCTTTTGAACCATTAAGATTCATTTATCCTTATCATTTAACTGGCAGAGAAAACAGACAAGTACTGTGCCACTGATCCAGCTGATGGAGCATATGGGCTCTGTAATGCAAAAAGTGATCAAACTGGATGTTGCATCCGAGAAAAAAACTCTTCTTAGCATCCAAAACATATTACATAAGCAGTAACCAAGAAATTAAAAATCACAGCTTAAATATCAAGCAGCTAACCATTTTAAAACCTAATTTAGTGATCTGCTTTGGCACGATCTCTGTTGTAGTACTCTCCCTCCAAATATGCAAGATTTTTTTTCCTTCTTTTAATAAGTGTTTTGAAAAATAATTTCAAAAGCAAACATCATAGCTCTAACAAAAATTCTTATCACCAACACGTCACTGTTTGTGATTCCTTGGGTCTTAAAAAAAGTTGAAACAAATAATTCCAATTTTTCCAAACACATAACAAAAAGATTGAGTAATTTCAAAAAGCAACTAGCCTAATTGCTGCTTTTCTAATGTGCTTCCTGAACAAGCTGTCAGCAGAAAAACCGAGTTCTAGCTACAGCATCTTCGTTAGCAGCTTTGCTGAGGAGGAACATAAAATTTTTTCAATGGTGTTTATTACATTTGATCTAAAACAAAAAGGAATATTAAAGGTTTAATGGATGATTTTTGCGAAAATTTGAAAAGACCTGCCCTCTCCACTTAAAAAAAAAAAAAATGCACATGCACAACCCTGTACCTGCTCCCGAGAGGGACCGCCTATTAAACTTGTGCGAGAGCATGCAGGAG